ATATTATAACATCTAATAATTTGTTAACGGTAACTTCAAAAAAAATAAAGAATTATTAACTGAAATACTGAATGTATATAATTTGGATCAGGATTCATAAAACGCACGGTAATAAATGTTAATCCGTGACATAATTTGTCCATCATTTCTGTGGATGGAGTAATAGCCACGTTCCCAAATCATTTAATTTCCACTCACTTTATTAAACTCATGATTTGCTATATATAGATCGGACCGATCAATTTACATATTGTGAAAAATAAATTGACACGTTTTATAATTCACCACATTATTTGTCATGTCGTCATTATCAAGGAGAATGTAGTTCGTCATGAAGAAGATTTTGTACCTTAATTGGCCAAAGAAACACATAACTCTGATCTTTTCTATCTGATCTAATAGATTGGTTCAAATGATGAGAACAATCACCTCATGTAAAAAGTGGGGATTGATCTTAGCTGTCCATTAGAGTTCACCAATGATGGAGCATTTTAGTAAAAGTATATGAGGTCAATTTTATAATTATTGTATACTTAATTTTTAAAATGAACTTCATCATTTTTTCTTACTTTTTAACAATCCTCAACTGTTGATCTACCTAGATGAATGGATTAGATCAGTCCTCACTTTTTGTATCTATTTGGATAGATCTATCAACGGTTGAGGATTGATGAAAAATAAGGAAAAAATAGGTTGGGTCAATTTTATAAATATTATAAATTTAAAAGTTTGTAATAATTATAAAATTGATCATATCACTTTTTACTAAAACTTTCAACCATTGATGAACCTTCATGAACGGTTGAGGTTAGTCTTCACTATTTATAGGATGACCTTGTTTTCATGAAACATAGTTTGTTTATTGGTTGGCCTGGAGCACAGATCAGAATGCATGAAAGTAACAGTCAGTCTTATCTCTCTTTGATGCATCCATGCATCCATGTTCATCTGATCTACACAACAGATTTTACATATAATTATATCAACTTCAAAATCAATCCTCGCAACCATTAGTGTAGAGTAAATCTCATCTTGTGTTTTTGGCTGGCAAAAGATGTGAACCCAAAAGCTAAATTAGTACGTTTAGATTACCCAAAACTGCCTCTCAAACAAAATTAAATAAAGCCAATACTTCACTCTCTTTAGAAATCAAACTTGGAACGTTGTAGTTATCATGTCAACTGGCTGACGAACTTGGGTAGGGAACTTTTAACTTTTATGAATTATTGGATTGGATGAGATTCTGGGATGGATTCAACACGGGACACAACAGTAAATCTGATGAATTATTTGAACTCTTGATCGAACATGACAGCATGCATTAATGTTACGTTGTTTTGTCGGAGTACGTATACTGTGTAACTGTTGCAGATGAGATGAGTCCGGCCTGTTTCATTATTCTACTTCAATTCAATTCAAATAAAATTAAAAATAAACCCAACCTGTACGTAAAACTGGATTTTGCAGGCAGCGAAAGAACAAAACCTAACAGGCTAAATTAAAGGAACATTCATGCAGTTGCATGCATATAAACGTACGTACGTACTGTGTATGTGGACAACACAGTAACATGCACTCATCACTTCACTCCCTTTAATTTGGAGGTGCCCATTCACATACTATACTATACATCATACATCAAAGGACAAACACCACAACACAACAAATCATCAACTCCGACAAAAGCATATGATATATATGTATATATATATATATATGAGCTGTTAATTTGCTTTTTTCGATGTTACGTCGCAATTGTTCACACGTGAAGATCGAATTACGACGACCTACCACTTTCTTTTTCTCCTGCCTGGATCGGAACAATGTAACTCTTCAATGGATCGGAGTTTTTGCTATATATACACTATATTACAATTCTATATACACACACTTCTATTCCTCTGATATGTTCATGATGATGATCTTCACATACTTTCATTGTATATTGTACCACCATTACTATATAATAATAATAATAATAATAATAATAATGAAGCCTTGGGCTTGTTCTAGGCAAAAAAGACAAGGTGAATTTCTATCCAACTTTTCACTTGCATATGAAAATTTTCACTTTTTAATATATCGTCCTCATTCACATGTATAGGTACGTCCTAATTGGAGTAATTTTCTCCGTCACAAGTAAACATTACTTTACATTTATTATTGAAATAAATAATATTTTTAATTAATTAGCTCCGGTCCTAAGTTGCCTCTTTTCTCCAAAAAGATTGAATTTCTAACCCCAAGAGCCCCCTAGATCCTGACGGCCCCTAAGTTATATCCTTACCGACCATATGATTGTTGGAAATTTTACTCTTTTTTTTTTTTTTTTGCAATTTAAATAGTGGGAAATTAAATTTATTATCATATTTAATTTGGTGTGGGCTTGCGAATGTTAGGTCCAGGGGCTGAGTTACGGTGGGGCAAGGGGGGCAGCTGTCCCCCTCCCCACCCCATATATATCCCTGGTAGATATATATGTATATATAGTACATGTTTTAGTATAAATATAAAAAAAAAAATTAAAAGATAATTAGTAACAAGAAACAAATTAGATTAGATGACAAAACAGGTGTGTGATTCTAAATAAGGTCAGTGGTTTGAATCTAGTGTCAATTTTTTACTTTTTTTTTTATGGCTTTTCACTATAATACAGTTTCTTTATGACTTTTTAAATATTAATTAATATTGAGATTTTTACACACACATATAACCTTTTTTTTTATATTAATAATGAGATGTGTAATTTATAATATGTTTTCTATTCTAATTATTTCATCAAATTAATTATGTTTTATATTATGTTATGAATATTTTTATAAAGTTTTGTTGTGTTTTATTTTTCGCTCATATTCAACAATATTTATGCTTATATTTTTTAAATGTTTCATATTTTTTTCAAACTATCTCTTTTATTTTAATATTTCTTCCCCACTGAAAAAAAATTTCTGACTCCGCCCCTCGTTAGGTCAATTTGGAATGTGATTACTTGAAAAGTAGGAAAGTTCATTATTCCAAATTAAAAGGGGTGCCCGGATGGCCGGATTCTTTTTGTTTTTTTTTTTTTTCTTTTGCAAATAGGTGAAATAATGTGACATTTCTAACTAGCTCATTACTTGCGGATGTGTAAGCTACTAATGGAAAATGTTGAAACCCCTTATTTTGCAAGGTTAGAATTAATTGGTCATTTAAATATATACCGATATTTTTTTTTTCCCTTTCAACCTAATGGCCTACAAATTTTGGATAAATTTGGTACCCTTTACTAGATCACCATGGCAAATTTGAACCCTCATTGAGTTGAAAATGATGTGGGCTGGATAAGGAGATATGTAGGAAGAAGAGTGATGCACCAAATTAAGGCTAATAAAAATACCACTTCAAAATAATTGAATGGACACCTCAAATTACTAAATGACTAAATTTATACCAAAATATTACTCTAGTACAAGATAAGGATGACAATGAGTCAGGGTGGGATGGGGAGGGCAACATCCACTATCCGACCCACCTTATATTTTCCCCACTTACCTTACGCCCGACTCGCATTGGTAAATTTCTTCAAAATGCATTTCTGCCCTATCAAGTGCGTGTGCCCACCACTTATTATCTTATTTTTTAAAAAATTAAAATAATATTTTAATTACTTACACATAATAAAATTCACTAATTATATTAAAATATAAAATAATAAAAATATTCAATATAATAACTGAATTGTTAATTTTTTTTTTAAATAAACGTATTAGTTTATAACAAAAAATTGTAAAATGTTGTAGAAAGTTCTATAATTAACTATATACTAGCACTTTTATATATATATATATATATATATATATATATATATATATATATATACACATTGTGGGACGGATTGAAATTGTCATTCCTAGTTTAAGAGTACAATTTTCCTTCAATTTATTATTACATTAAAAGACAACATAGTATGGAGTATTATATACCCAAGACTATAATTTTGTAAATACTGAGTGCAATCACAATTAGATCAAGTTGTTGGTTTGGTAATTATAAAATTTCAAGTTTGACTCTCTAAGGGAGCGGTTTATTAGTCTTCTCGGTTCGAGCTAGTTAACTATGAGCAATTGATGAACAATTTTAATATAGTCATCGCAAGTGCACAAATCACTACGGTCATAGTCTGTAAAAGTAAGGGTTGAACCAACATGTAAATGATATAATGCAATTTAATAACTTAAAAGACTGTAAAAAAAAATATTTTTAAAGAATTAAAAATAAAGTTTCAATTGCAGTAAATTTAACTAAAAGTTGAAGACAACTTGATAAGTAACAAAAGAATAAAATCTTAAACAACTTTGGTGACCTAATGTAGCCCCAGACTTTTGTGTTTTTTCTCAATTTAGTCTTCCGTTTGTTACTCTGTCCATTTGGTGTTAAATAGATGGGACAATTCAGTAATTTCAATATTGACATCTCTTTACTCCTAGACCTGTGAAGTGCGAAATCTCTCTTTCTTTCACAAATTACTTCCAGAATTATGTTCAAACCTACAAATATAAAATTTAATTCGCGGGTTTTGGAGTAATTCGTAAAAGAAATAAGGACTTCACACTTCTAAAAGCCGAGAGTAAAGAGATTCCAATATTGAGATTACTGAATTTTCCCTTTATTTAACACCAATTTGATGGAATAACAAACGGATGATTAAATTGTACAAAAACACAAAATCTGAAACTACATTAGGTCACCAAAATTGTTTAGGACGAAATTATGAAAAAGTACTATAATAGGTGACCATTTTGAGTATTAACTCATTACTATTTGATCATCATTCATAAAATGCATTATTGCATGCAGCATGTAGTTTCGAAATACCAATTCAATAGTCCATACATCTTCGTACACTGCAGCCACGTAGCATGTATCCCCTACTTCTGTCACAAAATAAAATGAAGAAAAAAAAAAAAAAGCTCCATATATAAGTTGGATCATAGCTAGCCTAGCTAGCCGAACCATTTTACTTATTTACCACTGCACTGCCACTTTATCTTATAGTACAGAGCATATACTGTTTCCTTGTGAGAGAGAGAGAGAGAGAATGGAGGTGAGTCGGCATGGTCTGTTGGAGGAATTGATAGCTCCATTAAACACCAATGAGTTGTTCCCAATTGGATGGATCTCTTCCACCTTTGAATCCTCCTTAGCCGCTCCAGATTTTCTACTCTCCTCAAATTCTTCCCTTGAAGACGACGACGACGACTCCACCTTTGCATGCCCTTTGGCAGATATCTTCAAGAAACCTCGTACGCCGCCGCCGCCGCCAGTGGAAGAAGTTCATGGCAGAGAAGCCCGGCAGGTTCTTGTTACTGGGTTTGAAGGTGCTAAGGAAGAGAAGAAGAAGAAGAGGAAGAAGAAAGGTGCAGAAGGGCAACCTTCAAAGAATCTAATGGCGGAAAGGAGAAGAAGGAAGCGCCTTCACGACCGCCTTTCCATGCTCAGATCGATCGTTCCCAAGATCAGCAAGGTTGTCTTCTTTTTACTGCTTAATTAATTAGGATCATATATATCAGATCGGAGTATTATTATATTATTATTTGTTGTTAAGTTGCTTAATTATAATTATACATATATATATGTGATGAGCAGATGGATAGAACATCTATTGTTGCAGACGCCATAGATTACATCAAAGATCTCTTACATAAAATCAACCAACTCCGTGAAGTTAGTGAAAACCCAACCGGATTTAAGCCGCCGCCTCATGAACTTACAAACCCTACTTGCTCTCCTAAGGTACATATTTATTGTTTTTTGATGCATTAATTGGTAGAGGAGGTAAATCCCGAATCGTCCCTGTCAGTCCCAAGTTTCCATCACCGTTACTGGTTGTCTGGGATTCTCAATGGGACTACAGCTAGAGCAAGACTTTAGGGTGATCTGTCAAACTAACTAAGTTAACGAATCCTGGCCTGCTAGACGTACTATATATTTATTGTTTGATTTTTTTGTTGAAAACTAAAAACACAAAAAAACAACATGGAATGTTTTGTTTTCCCAGTTTGATGTAGAAAGGAGACATGAAGATACAAGAATAGAGATACGGTGTGCAACAAGGCCCGGACTGATGCTGTCAACAGTTAGCACACTAGAAGCTATAGGCCTTGACATTCAACACTGTGTTACTGGCTGTTTCACTACTGATTTCTCCTTTCAAGCTTCTTGCATTGAGGTAGCTAATAACTATTATTATTCTATCAGCATTTCTTGGTTTGAGTCATGGACAACCTAGGATGATTTATCTGTCCGATATAAATGTGTATATACTAACATAAACATAATAAACCTAGCTTAAAATATAAGGAGGTGAGTCTAACCTCGTAGTAATAGCAAATGCTCAATAGACTCCACTAAGGCTCAAACACACTCCCTTCCATATGGGAGTGCACCTCAGGTACCATTAGACCACAAGGTCTTAGCTTTTTATCCTTAATTATTATTAGTATTATTATTACACAATGACATTTTAGTCTTTATACCACTTCTTCCCTTCTCATGTCAATAATTCAATCCCTCCCTACCAAACAATGTAATTTGAATTCCTGCTTTATTCCTATTTTATTATATTTCCACCAAATTACAATTCATTTCCTCCCTAATTCCTTCATTTCAACCAAACGGACTGTTAATGACAATTCTGTCTTCAAATCTTGTGTTAGGCCATGGAGCATCCAACGGTTGTCCGTCGCCCCGAAGACATAAAGCAAGTGTTATTCAAGACTGCAGGCTACGGAGGAATGAAGATGCTTATATGAGAAATAATAATATATGTCTGTGGAGTATTCATATTCATATTCCCAGAGATCAGAGTTTTAAGAAGCTAAGCAGTCTGCTTTTACAAGAAGTTTTCGGATTTTCAAAGAATAATTTCACTGTTTTTTAGCCACTACATACATGTTTGTTTCACAGATTGATCCAATCTGCACACTTTATGGTTGTATTCATTTCAAGATTTCCCTATAATTCAAACTGAGATTGAAAGTTTTGAAACATTTGCCTTGATTGCACTTCCCTTTTTTTTTGGTGACGAGGAAAACTCGATCACAGTCATTATCAGAAGATATATGCATTGAGTATAAACCCTGTCTTGTGATAATAAAAATGTAATTTTACTATAAACTTAAATTTTTAATTGAAATAAAACGCATCTTTAATTTCCACTCATTGCATCATTTTATACCATCCAGTTGTATTGAGGATACCGACTCAAGACTTCAATAGTGATACTGTAAATACTAAAGTCAAATGTGGAAATGGGCAGAACCTTTTTCTGATGAGGTTAGGAGCAGGAGCAAACACTTGGTCTGAAGAGCAAGATGTTCATCTCTTAAGAGCACGGTGCTCATCTCTTAAGAGCACGATGCTCATCTCTGAAGAGCAAGATGCTCATTTCGGAAGAGCAAGAGAAAGAGCAAGATGCTCATTTCGGAAGAGCAGGATAAAGAGCAAGATGAAGTTGCAGGAGATGGTTTGCTATAAATAGGCAACTCCTCTTCATCCAATCTCATCCCATTCCATCAGGAATTCTCCCATTAGCATAGCAAAATATAGAGAGTAGAATAGAGAGTTATATTTGTAATTCCTATTTGTAATATCATTTTGCCAATACAGAAAATCCTTCTTCAAATTGCCTTTATTTTGTGTATGATTTATTTTAAATCTTACACTAGAATTATTCTCATTATTTCCGGTACGAATTGCCGCTGTATTTTGGTGTTGTGAACCGTTTCGATCCTAACAGATACTAGCTCGAGTTTGAGACAGCTGTTATAAAATACTTAGAGTCGTGCAATATATATCGTCACAAAGAAGGTCAGACTGTCTAACCTATCTTCACTTGAGATGTCTAGCCAACCTAACTAGATCCCAGTGATAGAAGCATGGAGTTTGTTACAGTTACCCTAAAGAAAATTGCTCTTGGACCGTGTCTACATTATATTAGATTTCTTGTAACTATACTAGAAGCCAACTTAGTCTATAAATATTACCTTAATGTTTTAAAAAGGGGACAAAATGCTACTAATTAATAAATTAAAGGGATGTAATATAGTTCCCTGGTTCATCTCGAGTGACCAAAAACCTCTTTTTCTCTGCATTGCTTTGTGTTTATATATCATCTTGATTTATATTATTGTGCTTAATTATATTTACAATTTATATTAGGGTCGTGAATAAATAAACTTATAACGAAATAATCCTACAAAAATATTATTTCTGAACAAAATATCACAAGCAACAAAAGATTTAGGGTTAGTACGAGTCGAGCAAAACACCCTTTCTTTAAAAGGTGTAATGTGTTAGGATAAAATAAAACTTTATTTGCTACCTTCCGAAAGTGTTAGGATAAAATGTACTACGGCTCAATGTTCCACTATTACTCTGGTTTTCGAGCTCATTCCAGGACTTGATTTGCACCCCTACGCGCGATAGAGAGCATTTATACTATATAATTCAACATGCCTCTAAAAAGCTCTTATAATATAGTGGCGCAAATCCCCTTCTTTTTTCAATGTGGAACAAAGCTACTTATAAGTCTTTCCACCTTAATTTATTTTCCAACTCAAATTGGTCTACTTTGAAAATCAATTTCTCATTCATCCAATATCCGTTATGAACGTATAATATATCAATCTCTTCATCTCACTATAAAGAACCTTAGAACCCGACTCAAATCAGAAGTGAACCCCATGTATATTTGTACCACAAAATAACCACTTTCAATGTGATTTTTGTGCTATTTTTCCAACCCTTGTAATCTTTTCTAATTTAATTTGTTTGCTGCTAAGATTTAGGTATATATTGTGCCACACCCTTTAGCTTTTCTGGGTAATGTGAGACAGATGGAATATAATTGCATTGAATAGTAGTATGTAGCCCGGCCTCTGATCTTTCCTAAGTTCATGTATTTTGGTTTGATGGATGAAATTATTAGTTCAAATTATAAATATGTAATACTCCGTATATGACTAATATGAGACATTGTACTATTAATATTAAGTAGTAATTCACCCGCGCGATGCACGGGAAAAAAATTATGTTATTATAAATATAAATAAAAAATAGAAAAATTAAAATATTTTAAATTGTTTAATATAATAATATTTTTGAGCTTCCATTGGTCAAGTATTTATTATTTTTATAGAATACAAAATTAAAATTAAAATTAAAATTAAAATTTTGTATGGTTAATATAATATCTAATTATGTGCGTATTCAAATAAACTTATAGAGAGAATTTACATAATTACATTGATTTATTCTTAATTGTATTTTATCTATATTATAATTTTCATAATACAAATAATAACTAAGATAGTTACATTTTGAAAGCAAATTTTACATTTTGTATGAGTAAATTTAAACTCTAATTGAACACATTTTTTATATGATTATATAATATATAGCTATTTTATTTTTCAAAGTACATTTTTTATATGATTATATAATATATAGCTATTTTATTTTTCAAATGTTGTGTTTTTTTTTTATTTATAATAAAGGATGTTGTGGTATTAATTGTAACATTAATTACTTCCCAAACCATATAGCTTTATTATAGTTAAGATATAGGGAAGATTCAAATTAATGATTATCATGAGATATATTGGATGAACTTTTTGTAAAGATAAAATTAGATCAATATGTATCCCTGTTAAATTAGTTTGATAACTATAAGATTTTAAGTTTGACCTTTTAATTGGAGCTGTTTGATCTATTGATCTTTTTAGTTTAAAACAATTAATTAAGATAACTTAAGTTGGTTTACCTCCTCGTAATCTTTTGCTAGTTAGAATTACAAAACAGGCAGCCATACTTTTTAGCGTGGCAAACATTTGAGTCAGTCCAATCCTCTTCTAAAAAATTATTATATTCTATCTAAAAAATATTATACGTCCACAATAAAACAATTTTACACCAGACTTATTTTAAATTCAAGTAAAAAAGAAATATATAAATAAGATTTAGGAAGTAGTGCATGTCTGCAAATGGACTTGGATTTAAAGGCCCAAATTAGGAGTCTGATTCTTTCGTACAAGTGCCAAAAATATTAATGGTTATGAATCAGGATTCATTTTGATGTAAAAATTATATATTTATAGTTAATATTTTATGTGTCTCCAATTAATAAATTATGTGTCTGTAAATAAATTGAAAGCACATAATTTATTAACTATCGACATAAAATATGTTAACTGCATGTACAAATATGTTAACTGCATATTATGTGTTTGTAGTGAACATATTATGTGTCTTTAATTTATTTACAAGCACATAATCTATTAACTATAGCCTTATAACATATAGTATGTTAACTGTAGACACATAATATGAATGTCGTCATTTTGAATCATGATTCACAATGCAATGTGAACCCTGCTCTATAGTGTAATTTGTCCAAAAATATCAATATGACACGTGCTTGTCACATTTGGTTTTACTTATATAATCTCATATATTATATTAGGTCACATACATAAATGGAGGCTTTTGTTAGTTTAAGATTAGAAGAATCTGATCCAAAGGGATGACAAATGACAATTAATGTTTAGTACTGGTGGAGTTAGTGATAAAGCAAAGTGGAAATCCTACTCACTCCCACTATAATCTCTAGTCCCCACTTTAATTAATATTAATTTAACGTTTTTCTTTGTCAAATCATTCGATATATATTACGTTAAACATATCTTCCAATTACTGTCGTTTTTTGTTGCCTACTCCCAAACTAATGTCATTCTCCACCAGCCCTATAACAATTAGTTAAATTAAGTCGCATCTCTATTAACACGTTCAACGCTCGCCAAATCAGGGAGTAAAATTTTAGAGTAAATATAGTAAAACTTAAACAATAATTGATTTTATGACATTCAGGTACGAAAATCATGTTTCACCCACCTTCGTCACCTCTTTTGAATCCAAAATTCATTACTAATAATCATTGTCATTATAGTGCGGCCAAACGGAATGGGCAAGTATGTTACATCATTACCAAATTGGCTTAGCTAGCCAAGAACGCCACCATGCCCCCACTATACCAACTGTCTTTTTTAAATATAATCTACTCCATTCTATGATCAAGAGGCCCCAGCCTGCATCTTTGTTGTCTCTATTATCCTATGTTTAAATAAAAACACACTTTAAATGTACTTTTAAAATTTATTTTTATACATTTAACGAGGGGAAAAAGAAAAGTAGAGAATTAAAACATAGAAAACAGATAATAGAAAATGGAGAAAGGAAAGTAGAAAATTGAAATAAATGCAGTCATATGCGGATATGCTCTACACTGATTGGATGGAAAGAAAATAAGGAAGGAAGGAAAAAGCGAACCCCTTTAGAATCGATGATCAGCCAACATATCAGCAGGAAATATATAATATTAAAATCGAAATAGCAATAGTATAACATGTTTAAAAATACACCATGCATATTAAGGAAGCTAGGAAGGAAGAAAGGAAGGAAAAAGTGAATTATCCTTTGAAACCGATGATCAGGCAACACATCATCAGAAAATATATAATTGTAAAATCGAAATAACAATAGTATATAACATGTTTAAAAGTGCACCGCACATATTACATGACCAGATATGATATCAAATGTCGTAGTCATCATCATATATAATTAGGCCATATGCATTAAGATTTTGTAATCCTCAGATAAGGAGAATGGATGTGTTAAAACAATAATTACGTCCAATTTTATTTTATTTTTACTTAGTATTTATTTCAATGGTGATTCTTGTAAATTGAAGGTAGAAAAGAATAGAAGATGGATGGAGAGTAAACGAATTGTCATATCGAACAACGAAAGGTATTGTGTAGTTGAGAAGAAATTAAAGGCATATATAGTGAAAAGCATCGTTACATCGTGACAAAATCGAATAATCATCATATGGATGACGGAAGAGCAACATTATTGAGGCCTTATGTGGGACAATTTTACTTAAGATAATGGTAACATTTTTTAAATTGTTTTTTCATAATATATATTAATATCAATATTTCACAAATAATAATAATGATGTAATGTGTTATAATTGACTAGATATCAAATTGGAAAATTATAAGAAGACACTGATGGAGTAAACCTGTAACCACATTTTTAGATTTTATTAGAGAAAGAGAAAATAAAAGAATCAAAACTATAACCCTTTTTTTTAGATGAATCAAATATGACATGTCAGCACTCATCATGGAGTAAAAAATGAGTTCACAACTCGTTTGGTTTGATGTAATTTCATTGTAGTTGCATTGTAATTCCGTTTATTTCCTTAATTGCATTGTTTGGTTGGAGGGAATTGCAATTACCTCCATCCACTGAATTGTAATTCATGACACCCCCCTAGCTAGGAATTATAATTCAGTGGTGGAAAGGGAGAAATATACTGTTGTGAAGACAATTTTACCCCTGTCATTGTTCTCATCCACTCCCTCATTTATTATTACGTAAGGGCATTTCAGTCATTATATCACTTATTCCCTTCAATTCCCTGTAATCATATTCCTGCATACCAAACACTGTAATTTGAATTCCTACTTTATTCCAACTTATTCTTTTCCCACCGAATCACAATTCCTTTCCCCCTTAATTCTTCCATTTCAACCAAATGCCCTGTTACGATGCGGACTCACAAATTCTACCCTCTCAATCATATTCCATAATGTGGCAAGCATTAAGTTTCAACAACTACTCACATTAAGCACACAAATCATGCACCTTATTAAGCACAAAAACCACGCGCCTTAAGCACAAAAACCACACACCTTAAGCATGGTTGCAGTAGGCGCTGGGTGCTAGTCGGGCGCCAAGGCAGCGCCTAGCGCCTAAGCGGCCTAGTCGGCGCCTAGGCGGAATCTAGGCGGTCGCGAAAAAAACAGTAGCAAACATGCAATTTGACAATTTTAATGAGACTGTTTTCAACATTCAATCAAATAACACATCCAAATAAATGACATAATGACAATTCATAAGTCATAACATCAAAAGAATATTAAAAAAAATAAAAACTCAAATGAAATACCCAAATACTTCAATCATCCAAAGATTGAAAGTATCAAACTAGTCTACGAGTGTATATATGTCATATTATATGTATATGTCATATAAATGGACAAAATTAGCAAGGTCGAGTCGGTCGGGTTAACTCGACTAACTCGACAGAAATTGACGAGTTAACTCGGCGTAATCGGACGAGTTAGGCGCTAGGCGGCTGAATTAGGCGCTAGGCGGGCGCCTAGGCGGCTGGTCTCCTAGGCGGGAGCCTAGGGCGGAAATCGCCACGGCCTATGGGCGCCTAGTGCCTAGGCGCCGATTACTCGGTGCCTAGGCGGGATTTTTACAACCCTGACCTTAAGTTTCAACAACTACTCACATTAAGCACACAAACCACGCACCTTAAGTACAAAAACCATACACTTTAAGCAAAAAAAACTATGCACCTTAAGCACAAAACCACGCACCTTAAATTTGACCTAGATGCAAAAATTACCAAATTGCTATCAGCATTTTTTTTTAATTAAATTTTGTTAATCTTGAACGTTGATTTAAGCAAGATCAGTGGCTCAAATTTAACCGCACAACTACACCTGACGCCCTTAACTGCACGGGAACCCAATCCGATATGTGTAATATTATTTTATCAAATTAAAAGATTTATGATCGGATAATTGTCAACCAATCTCATGTCACATCATATGAGAATTAACCATCGAAAATAATTCTATAGAGTACATTAATTAGTTGAGTAGTAGTGGGGAAAATGTTTGGTGTCTATTATGTGAGTGAGACTTGATTGTGAAATTGTGTTATTTTGTTTGAGTTAACCATCGAAAATAATTCTATATAGTACACTAATTAGTTGAGTAGTAGTGTGGAAAATATTTGGTGTCTATAATGTGAGTGAGACTTGATTGTGAAATTGTGTTATTTTGTTTGAGTTAATGATTCAAATTAAGATTTAAAAAAAAAAAAAAATCACTCTTGCATTAAACTTTAAAAAAAAAAAAAATTAATGACGAAAAACATCGTAATCACCATTTAAGTATGTGTATTAACTTTCAAATCACATCAGAAAGTTTCATTTAATAACTTTCAGATTATATCAAAAAGATAAATTGTATTAAAAAAATCATGTGCAACATGACAAGACTTAAAAAGATTTTTGACAAAAATTAAAAGATTACTCGATACACTAACCATCCATATATAGTCATTCATTCATCTAGAATTTCAAGATATTTTTTTTATAAAAAAAAAATAAAAACTTTGTAAATTTACATTATAATTACATTACAAAAATAGAAAATAAAAATAGAGGGGGAGTCCACTACTGTCCACCGCTTCACGAAGCAAATGGTCAGTTTTCAGTTTCAAGAATCAACGATGACGTACGAGATGGAGCTGTAATCTAATAGAACGGCACTGCTTCAACCCCACAAAGCGGTTTGGGTGGCATTTGCGGCGGCGGGGGCGGCGGCTTCTGCACTTCCACAACCACGGCCTTCCCGGGCCGCGGCGGCTGACACGGACACGCCATTGCCAGGAACTTAGGTACTTCATCACCGGGCATTATCACCGGCAAAGTCTGCCTATGATTCTCCTTCGAATTCTGTCAACCAAAACACAAACAATTTACAATAATCGTTTCAACAAACAAATCTTGCCATTCAATTTGATAAAGCTGCCGAGTAAGGCAGTTCACTTAGTAATCATAAGATTACAGTGCTGGGTAAGGCAGTTCGCTTAGTAATCACAAGATTACAAATTAACTCTTACTGCAACCGATTTATTGACTTTCTTGATTTGAATAAGTTGAGTAATTCAAGTGATTTATTCTCTTATGATTCTTTGTTGGTTAGAGTTTCGGGAAAAAATTTTAAGTGCACACCAAGTAGTATTTATGATTTTTCTAGACAATATATATATATATATATATATATATATATATATATATATATATATATATATACTAGAATTTTTTATGCGCAATGCGAAAAAAATAGGGGCACAATATTAGTATTTTATATTAAAATTTTAAATTTATTTAAATTTTAGATATTTAAATTATTATAAAAATAATCAAAAAACATAATAAATGTAAATGAATATTATATTCCGTACCCTTTATTTATGCTCGATTTTTCCATTGACAATTGTTCAGATGGATAATATACAAAAAAAAAACTTAACAAAAAAACATACATAAATAAAGAATATAACATTCATCCACACTTATTATGTTTTTTTTTAGATATATACTATCTTATTTTAAATATATTATTTACTATTCATACGTCAAATTAACTATTTGAGTAATTTTATATTATTTTTAGATTTAAATTTTTTGTTTAATACTATTAAAAAATTAAATTAAAAACAACTCTTGTCTGAGTAATCAAATCAGACACATAAAATAGTGCGAGCAAGTATTTGCTACCTGGGGAAGGTGTTTAGGTTTATGGGGGCCGTAGCCGGCGGCGGAAGCCTCGAGATCGGCGGCGTTAGAGAAATGAGAGCGTCGGCGGAAGGATCGGAGTTTGTCCCAGTGGTAACAGCAGGAGAAGATGCCGCTCAAGCTGAAAATTAGAATCAAGAGCAGCGCCGTGCCGAGAGGGAATCCCATGGACGGCCGAGACGCGACGGTGTGAGGTGGCGCGTAATACGAACTCTCCATAAATATCGGTGGCATAAAAGTTCCTCCAAGCTGATGTTGACGCCGCTACTCCCCTCATCAAAGGGTTTAACAGCAGCTAAAAATGGAAAAAGAACAAAAAAATATCTGAATAAAATGGAAAAAATTAGATATAAAGATGATAGTAGGGCGAGTGTTACTGAGATTTATAGAACAGAGAAGAAGAAAGAAAGAATGGAGGGAGGGGTACTCATAATTTATAAAGATATGATGATCGGTGTGGTGTGGTGTGGTGCGTGATCAGGTGTAACGGTACGGAACTCGGGAAGTGAACATTATGACGTTATTATTTTTTAAAAATACAAATAATTATTAGAAAAACACATTTTTTTAATTACTTATTCTTGTAACAAAAGGTGGAATCGTCCAATCCAAACGTTTCCAACTGATCAACTAATCAACATACGCTAGATTTTTGTTAATTGCGCACAAGGAACTCCCTCATTCTACCGTTGGTAAGACTTGATCTTTGGTTTCTTATCACAAATTTCACCTATACAATCAGTTGAGCTACCCATACGGACTTAGTTATGTTATTCTATTTCAACTTCTCGTGAAAGTTATGGACAACCTAGTTTAGTGTACTTCCTTATGGTCTTTTATCAACTATAATTAAAAGACGATTTCACTCGAAACACGTTTTCTAATAACGATTACAAACTTTCCTGTAATTGAAAGTTACGAGTTATTTTAGTTTTATTAAAAAAAGTTGTGATTTTCATTCCTTGAGCACCAAAATAGCAAACCTTCTCATATTCTATAACTAAAGCAAATATTTTTAGTAAAATCACATATGAATGAACTTTTTTGCTTATGAAAGTTCATGGTTTTGTTTTTCTAACATATGAAAATTGTATCTTTTTTGCATAATTTAGAGATTGAAAATGCATTATAACAAATTCTCCACTGCTAGGATACATAAAATCTACCAAAAAAAAAGGTGATTTTTAGGATTTATATATTTTTCTCAAAATTAACAAATTATATATTTCAGTAATCAATAGAACCCAGATTAAGAAATGTCATCAAAGCCAACAAATTCTCCACTGCTACCAAACAGAAAATGGGGCCATCTTGCAAGTTGCAATTCCCTCTATAAGACAGCCCAGATTTCTGCAATCATCACTTTGTGCAATTATAATCCACTGCTATCAACTACTTTTCCCCTTCCTATAATCTCCTCCAGCACACAGCAATTCAATAATTTGTCTCAGTTCTTAACCCATTTGCAGTGGAACTGTATAGTGGGTGAAGCTGAGACCTCACATTCCATATAAAAGGCATGAATATGATGTAAACCACTCAAGAATCAACAGCTATTACCTGGTCATCGTAGATCGAAAGAGCTGTAGAGCACATCTGATTTGGCTGTATTCCATCCGTCTGATCTTCTCTTCATCCCAAAAGCCATATTTTTCATAAAACCGTCTTGCATAGTATAACACCAGCGAAAATCAAAAGCAATCCAAGAATAGCTCCCTGTCTGGAAAGTGCATACTCGGTCCAAGCCAATGGCTTTGTGATCTGGATTAGAACCATCTCAAACTGCTCATTCAAAGCCTCTAGTGTCCCTGTATTATCAATGATGATATCCGCCTTTGTCTTCTTTATATCCAGAGACATTTGAGAACTTATCCTGTTTTGGCCTCTTCCTCTGTTGATCCGTCCCTTGTCATGAGGCGATGGAGCTGTGTCTCCGGATCAACCCAAACAACAATAATAGGTTTAGTCCATTTATCCATCTTGGCTTCAAATAAAAGAGGCACATCAAGAACAATTATCTTGCAACCCTTCATCCACAGCTTCAAGACTTCCATAAATAGACCGGTTGAGATATAACATGCTAACAGCCTACAAATGCATATTACAAAAATACCATAAGCTCATTCTGTACTCTCAGAGATTGTGGAAAACTCATTCTTAAAAGCTTCTCTTACAATGCAAATGCATGGTTTACACATTATGCCACAAATAAGCAGATTCTTTAAACTGAAGAACAATGCTTTCAGTTAAATAATACAATTCCATTCCAACATGATCTGACATGTATAGTCTGATCATGACTCTACAAGTAAAAGTAATATTTTAAAAATGTTTGAATTCAGTCAATACCGCTCGATAAATGGAAAGTAAAAGCCAAGTCAAATTGGGTTCTCTCCCTACTACTTATTTCACTTCTTTTATTCTCAGTCAGGCATAACCAAACAGGTTGAATGGTTGAAATTAATTCTCTCTAAATCATATGATCAGTAACACTAGCTTGACACTATAAATACCCTACCATCCCATTGTGAGTTAGGGCCAAAAAATGTTTAGGCCAATAAATAACTACCTCCCAAGTTTTAGGGTAAGGGCAAACAAAATTTAACCCGATTGACATCCCTATCTCCAAATCAACAGTAAGAAATTGCTTTAAAGTGCCAATATTTAAAAAATGCTAATAGCTAAGGCTTTTTGTGATATGGATCCCAATATCCCACATCATTAAAAGCAATTTTATTGTTACCGATGCATGCTGGAGTTGTAGCATTGCTCCTAAGGTTTAAGCACAGAAATTGTTGACTCCGTGCCCCCAGAATAAAGATTGAAACTTACAAAATACTGCTTAGAGACACAATATAGCAGGAGAGAAAATTGCTTGAGTTTTTCAATTCTACACGATGATTTGCAAATGGGATGGCAAGGTATCCATAGTGTCAAGCTAGAGTCCCGACCACATGAATGCAACCTGTGTCTAGCTTATAATAAAAGAAGGGAAATAAGTAGTAGGGAGAGAAAAGTCCGGTCTGAATTGGATTTTTCTTGCATTTATCCAACACTCTACAACGACACAACATTAACTATTTAGTGCTTTTAAAATACCAATAGAATATTTTTCTCAACCCTTTCATCTCATCATTAACAGCCATATATCCTCATAGCAACTTTTTCCAACATAAATTTAAAGATTATATAACATAAACATGCAAAACCCCTCATTTATTAAAAGTGTCTTAAGGTGATGGTAGGAAACAAGGAATGTAATTAAAAGCATAAGGAATGTGAGGAAAAAGTGGAAACTAATAATCTAATATTGAAATCAAGACGCCGAAATAACGGGTACCCATTCAATCTCAAGTTGCTCTTTCTAATTAATATAAGTGAATAAATTTGTTCAAATACAAGACCATCATACCTCTAATCAGCCCAATACCCCATCACAAGGCCCCCCACTTTTTTTGTGTTGTCAATGTCTACAACATGAAGTAGGAAACAATAACTTCACTAATACTTTCTTGATTCCAATCTTTATTAGTTTGAACATGTTAGCTTACCATTCCTACTTTCCTCTCTTCCTTTAAAAAAAATTTCCCTTTTTAAAACAGAGAAGTGCACCCTACCATGCGAGCATTTGAAGGGTCCACAATGCTGGAAGAAGGATCCATGGGGAATATATACACTTTGTCGCCTAACCAATAACCAATGGCACATTGTCTGTAATTCATCTAAGTGCAAGCAAGATATGATCTAAAGGGTGGGGCTTTGATCCAACAACAAAGAAATGAAGAGCTCAACGGCCCATGGTGAAGAAATCATGGCTTGGGGCAATATGGGTTGGCATGTGCTATGATTGAGCGAGGAGGTAACATCTGGATTAACAAGGTTCATTAAGCGAGAACAAAATGGCATGTCGGGCCGGTGTGCAAGCGGGAAACAATGGGATGAGTGCGTCCAAGGACGGTAACCTCCCGGGGCAATCTCACGATTGTGCCCATGCAGAGGGGCAACAAGACTACCGCATCCACATGATGGGGCTATGGCGCGACCACACCCGTGCACTAATTCAAGGTCACGGCCTCAAACCCAAGGGCAACCACACAATCATGGAGTAATCACGGCTAGCTTTAGCAGTGGTGTGGAGCACCATGTCACTAGGGGCAATATTTGTGGCATATGGATTTCAATATCTATCCTACACAGTTCTGTGATGGGCAAGAGGCATAGAACCTATCCTAAGGAATAACCACGAATTATGAAAATAAAAAACACAACTAAATGCACATCAATAAAGAACCTATTAAGGAGCTGGCGTTTTGCAGGATCAGAAAATACAACTTGACCAAGCTTGCCACGATCCACCTCGCCGTTGGCCTGCAAGATGTCCTCCCCAAATGTAGCCACTACCTTTTTCCATCCAACAGTGCCTTTCATTAAGACATTCTGCATAACACAAACACCCATCACGATAACTCCCCTAAAGTACCGATAAGCAATTCAGTAATACACTAATAATGCTAGAAATGATCAGCATTCGAAACAGAAGTTTCAGTGCGGAAACCTAATTAACGGATAATACTCACACGAGCAACGATGTCGGCATCCACGACTGGAATGCCGCGGGACTTGAAATGACTGGAGGTTGTGCTCTTCCCTGAAGCAATTCCTCCCGTTAATCCAACTATCCTCATTCCAAACTGGAGGATAATCAGGATTGTTCTAAATGCAGGAAGCAATCGTTATACCCTACACCACCGGGCGTGCGTAGCACTGTGCGCCGCGCGCCTCCCAAAACGACGCCCGATAGGAAGTTATTGTGATTATTTGTATTTGTTCACACAATTATATGTATTTGTTCACACAATTACTTGTATTTGTTCATACAGCTATGTACATTTTTTATACAACTAGTATTTTCACCCGTGCGATGCACGGAATTGAATTGTTGTAATATACTAAGAATATTTTAAATCGATATATAATTATTTAAGAGTTAATTTCACCAGAGGTCGCTTATAGGATTTCTATTACCATCATTAATTATCCCTAATTTACCATAATTAAATAAATTGACCAATTATAAAGAGAGATTATTAAAAAATGCACGGGACAATTTTTTAATTAAAAAATTTAAAAATTCATTAATAAAACATAATGTTCTCATAGTTATTTCTTAGAAACTATTTAATAAAGCATTCTTTTTAGAAATTGGTGGGCCAAGCTAAACATATGGTTCTCATAGTTAATTCTTAGAAACAATTTAATAAAGCATTTTTTTTAGAAATTGGTGGGCCAAACCGCCTAAGGCAGTTTGCGATGGATATATCTCGAAAAAATACACAATTTTAAAAAAATATTTGTCCAAAACGGACAACCGAGTCAAAAGTGTTGCATTGCCGAACTTTCGAAACTTCACAGCTTTTACCCAGAATTATTGTACGAATGGAAAAGAAGAA